CTATTCATATTTAACAACGTGCATATATGTATTACACTACAGCAACTGTTTTTCAAGTTTCTTTTATTCTATGTATCAATAGTAATAATAATAATAATATTAGCAATGACACTAGTACTGTTTCACTTCATGTTTTCACTTTATTTCTCTTGTTAGTTAATGATCATTGGTATGTTGTTTTTTGTCCACAGAAAGCAAAACACTTATTCATATGAAAATTCCCATATATATATATATATATAACTTCCTCTGTTATTCTTACAATACTTAGAACATACATTATGTAACTTTGTATTGTATATTTTTCTTTGTTCAATGTATACTATATGCGTTTCGATAAAAAGAAATATTTTACGTTAAATTATGCAAACGTCAAGGGAAAGTTCTTGGAATTAAACTTGTCGGAAAAAAGTGAGTGATTCATGTTAAATATACGTATATTCGATACAATGGTTATTTAAGAGTGTTTTTTGGTTACACGGTAAAATACATTGTTTGGAGCTTGTAATATCAAGAAATCCGTGCGACTTGTCAAGTTATTGATTAGGGAGATAGTGTGTGTTTGGAACATTCCATAATTGATATTTTTTCGTATTATGTGATATTCGTAGCAGAAAAAAAGAAGTAGACAAGAAAATGTTTGTATATTTCACCATTCGTTTGATGATTACTCATGCAAGATAAATTTCGCGGAAGGTTGTTATGGAAATTTAGTTTGCCAGAGTCTGTTCATTTGCCACGTATCGTTTAACTAGTATCAAAATGGAGACAAGAAGAACCCCATAGTCTTTCTAATTAGCACTAGTGCAGTCGACATATCTCACCTTAATTAATTTTAAATATGGAATGGGATGCTGATAACAGTATTGATTAATGTTGAAATATGTGAACCATTGGATCCTGGCTTCGTTTTCCAATGGTTTAATGCTCTCTACCAGATCTGAACGTCTCATGTTTCATCTTATCATATAAGACCATAGAATAGCACTACTGATGAGTCTGAGGCTTGAATGAAAAGGTTACATGGTCTCGATCTCCTCTGTTTATCCACCCTATGACAGCGTATGGTAAAAATTATTTTACGATCGAATGAATCTTCACACAAATCAGCTAACTACATTTCATGTGTAAAATTCGTTGTTGATTTGAAATTTCGATTCATTTTGTACCTGGAAATTAACTCTTTTAATGTAGATACAAGAATTCCAATTCTTATGTTTCAGTGACTTAAATATTTCGATTCAAATATTAAAAATCATAAATTTTCCATTTAAATAATAATATTGTTATTGTTTTCCCCTTGGATGGAAGTAGTGAAAATTATCTCATTTAAAAAAACACACTTTTAGAATCGGTAGTTTTGAATTTTAATTTCAATTAACAGTCATATAGGTTAAAACGTTAATAGTACAGATTACTTGGATTTAAATTTAAACTACTGTTTAACTTAACAACACAATTGTTTACTAAAAATTGCCATCATAATCTTGTATTACACGGATTTTCTCTCTTAAATCGTAATAACGTTTTATATTATTTAGTTCAAGTTGATTAATCAATTGATGTATTCTTGATTCTATTTGAATGTAATTCGTGTTTTAGTAAAAGTCTATATTTTCTCATAGTTTATATTTAGGACTATTTTTAATCAGTCTGTGTTAAAATACATTCATTCGGCGATGATTGCTTCGATATTGCAAGTTAGTCATTAGGTTTTAGTACGTTTAGATCGTGGCTAACAGTGGGAATTATTAAGCGCATTGACGTTTTAATTGATAGGTGCTGATTTTAAATTTCAGTGTGTTAACATTAACACAAAGATGGAAGCACATCCATCTGAAAAGTCCCAAATAGAGTGAAACTTACGTCTTGAATTCCGCTGCTACCCACAGTCCAAACAAATGAATAACCTCATATCTGTGTAAACAATAATGCTTTGCGTATTCTGTCAGCCAGATACATGATATTGAATGTTGTACTCTACCATCATTTTATTCCACCTATTAAGAGAGAAAGGGTACTTCGTTAGTTTTTTTTTAGTCTTTACTAAAACTAATAAACTAGCTACTTTGGAAATTACTACCTATTTAAATATAGGCTTTAATGTAACGCCAGAAAACCTTTCATATTGATGGTTTGCTTTTATATTGAAGCTAAATTCTATTACGCAATCGGTAAATTTGATTATTTATTATACGTTATTAAAATTCTTTGAAAAAAAGTTGTGCACATATGAATTAATTCTTAAACATGTAGTTTTGTAATTTATTAACCCATTTCAATGCCTGATATGATTTAACGGCGTCACGATTAGTTTTCCAACTATTTTATTATATTTGCTTTGATTTGTTTACATACTTAGCTTTAATTTCATTGTCCTAATTGTGTCTTCTTCACAAATTTGTATACTTCTTGTAACATCCATAACAGTAACAATCGAATAACTACGTTTTTTCGCTTATTCTTGATTAAATACATCATAAGTGTTTACATTGTTGATGCCAATTTTTCAAATAAGTGTTATTATTAGTTAGTCCAAGTGATTGTTACCTACGTATCGTTCTTTTTTAATTTGGTCAGTCATCACCAACGTAGATCCTATCACAAACATACATTAATCTAAGTTGCCTTATCACCAATTTCGCATGACAAGATAAAATTAACATGATAATAACAAAAAGGATTGAATTAATGTTTTAGAAATGATTATGAAAAAGACTAAGCATTGAGAATATGCTTTGTCTTCCCCAACTGACTTGCGATGCCAGCTGCTGTGCAAGCGGATTGGAAAAAGACAAAAGAGTATCCTAGGTTATACATATAACCAAATCATGAAGTTTTCGACTACTGAAATAAACTATATCTTGTAATAGTCAACGAGATATTTGTAATTTATAAACGAATAAAACCCTTAGTAGCATCGCTAGAGACCTCGGGTGACATGTCTTAGAATCGTTCACATTGGCTCCGATGCAGTCATCCGTTACCCCTCCCCCTTAGTAAGTAAGTCCTAAAATCCCCTTATAGATTTCTTACCTCTTCTTATACCTAATCTTTTCTACTACTACTGCTACTACTAATACTAATACTACTTCTACTACTCCCGGAATTGTCTTGATAGTTTTATGTTACCTTAATAATGTGGTATAACAAACAGAACCGACACACTGTGCTAGGTTCTACGTTGCACATGACTGACCGACTGACTAGATTACATGGCTTAGAATGTAACATAGTGTAGGCCAGTTGCATTCCTACTTTATATCTATCTCTAACTCTTGAAGTGGGTAATATCCTTGATTCTCAATCTTACTTATTGCACATAAGCTGTATTATATTTAGTTCATTAATTCACTGTTGGTAATATTGTTAATTTCATTTTTTACTGTTCTTGTTAATTTGCTCCATGTACTTGCTTATTTGAGGTGTGAAAGGTGAAACTGATATACATTTGTGTTGGCTGACTGAATCTTTATTTCCTTTAAGAATCTGTGCATGATATTCAGTACTTTATTTCTAAAAACTAAGTTAGTTTACTATCAGCTGTAACTTTAAACAAATTCAATAATCAAATGAGGTGTGTTTATTTATTTTGTATACATTACTACTAGTTACTGTCACGTTATAATGTAAATCAATATCCAAGTACATATTTACGTACTCGAATTTTGGTCATACTTTTTTTTAATCTGAAAACTAATTATGCTACTGCCCAGCTGACTGAATCGAAAACAAGCTGAACAATAACCATTTTAAATTATTTCCACAGTTCAGAGTAATAAGGAGAAAATTCATGAATGCTAAAAAATATATCATCAGTTAATGAGTTAAGTGAAAGCCTAGAACACAAGGTTACTGTTAACCGAATATTCAAAGTATATACAGTAAAAAACGAAGACTTGGCGAGGATATCCAATTTATTATTCGATGCGAAATTACCAAGTTTTTTTTGTAAAATGTGAAAAACTATACATGAAATACTTTGAAATACTTTGCAAATCTTCCATCAATTGTCTCAAATTCCATCGTTCTTTCATTGCTATTACGATTACTCTGTTTAGATTCCCGTTCTCTTCGATTCTACCTTCTCAACCTCCTGCTGCCAGGCATTCAACTTCTGATTGTTGTACATACTGCATGTGTCGACTGACATAAGTAGCATACACCACATTTATGTGCATATTATTCTACCGTGGAATCACCTTTAAAGTCCCTTCTTTTCCAATTATGTACCCGTACCTAATATTTATTATTATTATTATTATTATTATTATTATTATTATTATTATTATTATTATTATATCTAACTACTGGGGTGGAAATTTCATTTTATCCACTGTGGTTTTTGTTGGAATATATATACTACTTCATTAACAAATGTTTTACTGTTATGTTAAAATAAGTATTCTTTTTCTTCATGATTAGACATTTACCAGGACTATACGTACTGGAACTTGTCGCTGGTTGTGAAGCTGATCTTGATGGGAGAATAAAAAAAGATGACCGTATATTAGAAATTAACGGAATCGATTTAGAGAATGGGACACAAGAACAAGCAGCTCAAATAATTAATGTATGCAAAATTGTTATAGTGTTTTTTGGATTATTATTATTATTATGTTCATTAGGAAGTTTTCAAATCTCGTATTTTAATTTCTAACAAGATTACTATAGAAATATTATCATGCCACTTGTATAACTAATTTTAAGAAGGCTAATTATTATTATTATTATTATTATTATTATTATTATTATTATTATTATTATTATTATAACAATATTCTAAAGCTCATTTATTGTCATGCTTAATACAAACACATATGAAAGATTAGAACCCACTAGTAGTCCTGAAAACTTACTTGACAAAAGCAGAAATGAAAAACAACTGATCAATAGACATTTGCCCATTAAGTCGACAATTTTCTATTGACAAAACACTTTAAACATATTATTCTAAATAATATTTGCAAGCTTCTATAATTCTCATTCTTTTAAGTCAATTAGTGTAAATAAATATAGGACTGTCAGGCTCTGCTCACAATGTCTTGTACATTTTATGAATATAGTGTAGGCAATAAATCATCAGAAAGCTTGAATTTCCTTCCTAATGAAACAGCGAATGATTTGCGGAATAAAATAGCGGCCACTTTATTACATCAAAAACCACACAATTCTAATCTAACTAAAAATGAATTATATGCATTAAAAAAGCTGAAAAATAATAAGGCAATTATCATTACGAGAGCAGATAAAGGGAACACGACTGTTACTATAAACAAGTCAGACTACGAGAAAAAAGCCAGGGAACATCTCCAAGATGGCCTGTATGAATTAATTAAGGTCAAACTACGCTTAATAAACTTAAGGCTAAAACTAGCAGAATCCTAGTCATTATGGTTCATATTACATCCAAAATGTTGTAATCCTTGTAGATTATATAGACTACCAAAGATTCACATGAATAATACTCCACTGAATTTAAGAATAATATCGACACCATCCACATAGAAGAGGATGAAATGATGCCAAGTTTTGATATTTCTTCCTTATTTACTAATGTATTTATCAATAGAGTATTGGATATTATTTATGATTATTTCGAATATAACTCATATTTTAATTTACGATCCTCGTTAGATCCATCCGAAGTTATTACGTGTTTGGAATAGTGTTTACGATTCACGTTTTTCACATCTTGAGAACTTTACATACAAAAAGGTGTAGCAATGGGTTCACTAGTTTCTCCAATTGCATTCCTTAGAAACCGGTGCAATCACAAGATGTGTAAATCCACGGTATGTAGATGACATTTAAAATATCATTAAACGGAATAGTTTAGAAAGTGTTTGAAAATGTGAACAGCATTTCGGAGAACATTAATCTGACAAAGGAAATAGAGTGCAATAGACACAAACTAGCGTTTCTCGATTGTATAGTTGAACGAAGACATAATTACAATAAGTTGAAAATAAATTTATTCAGGAAATCAACACATTCTGAAAGATACTTCGATTATAGTTCGGCTCATGCGTATTGTACGAAAGTCACAGCGGTAAAAAGTCGAATTAACAGGAATATTAATCTTACTGCAGATAAGGAAGATCAACAGTTTGAATTCAATGGAATTCCGTCTATGCTTAAGGCTAACAATTAACCCAAAGAGTTTTTGAAGATTATCAGAGATGAAAGAAAAACTAAATTTGAGTATGTACCGAAAGATTGAAAGTCTACCGTGGTCATCCCATAGTGTAACATCAGAAGAAGATTCTAAACAAACATGATATAGTAGTGTATTTTCGGGCTATTGACACCATAAGATGATCATTAGTGAAGATTAAGGATAGAACAAACTAAACATTAGTATTTCACAAACTTTGACTTAAGCAAAATAGTATTCGCAAAAATAGCTCCCGTCGTTCGTCATGGCTTCTTTACTTCTCTATTGACATCATAATGACTAATAGTTAAATCCAGAACTTTTTTTTATCTTAATTCGGGCATTGTCAGCTAAATATACTATCCAAAATATAATAAATTTGTAACTGTAAAGGACTTTGAAGTATTCATTGGAGTCCCATCTGTGCTAACCGAGATCAATTAAGTTTGAATATCAACAGTGGAAAAATATTAGTCCTTACAATTAATACCAAGGACTTTCAGTCGTGTATTTAAAAACATTTTGTCAAGTTCGTTCGTTTTTGTCATCTTCAATTTCCTATTATAGCTTTTATTTTGTAACCATTTTAATAATAACAGAGATTAGAGTGAATTGATTTGAAACCAGTAAATCATGTACGAATAATTTCAGTATTTCGGTAGTTCATGTATTGTTTAACATTTTATCCAAATGAATGTATACGTGCCTAATATATATTTATCACTTTAAGTACATGACATCAAATTAAAATATAGTCCATAAACTCAAGGCCTATTTAAATAATTTACACATATCTTACTATAAATATCTATATTCCTATATACATCCCTTACATTGTAATCATGGTAATAAAGTAATCGTTTATCTATTACCAACCCGTCATATGACTCTCCAATCTGATTAACAGCTTTTGTCCCAACACACAGAAAATGAGATAGATTTCACTTCAATTTTTATTATCATATAATAACCCGTAAATGAGTAACTGGGTGGAATCTTAGAATGTTAATAAAGTATCTTTTAAATATATCAGTCAATGGTGATCTGTCAACTTTTCTGATGGATTCAAACGTAACAGAGCTATAATTAGTAGTTCTCATCTATACAATACAATGAATCTCCGTTGGCGATCAACAAATAAGTAGTTTGTTGTTATTATGTTCTCTGAGTTGGATGGTTCAACTGCATAACTTTCTTGATCGTCCTACATAACATCAGCGTCTGCTACAATAAGTTATCTGTCTTAACTAAAAATCTTCATTTGGCAGGATAAGTCTACGATTACAGTACATCCGAGTTACTTCATTAATCCTTTATCTTTATTGAAAATGTTAAAATCTCCGTAGCATTCATTACATACTAACGAAGTTTTGGTCTCGTAACCGAAATTTTTTCGGTGACTTGACTTCCACCATGATTTATTTGTTCAACTTTTTAAAGGTGATCAACTATTTAGTATATTATCATATTATCAATATTTGCTTAAAAGTCTTACTAAACTTTTATTTCAAATCTTTGCTGAATTTTGATGATTTTATTCCGATTTATTCAGATCGTAAACGGAACTCTCTTGGCTCAGATTCACTGCGACATGTTTAAATAATACTCTTTGAGCTCCTAGTTAAATCCTTGTACACGTGGTTTAGTTTTAGCAATACTTGTTTTTAGACAACTATTTTTCTCTTCACACCCCAAACTGTAAACTGCTCGTTTTGTTTTATTTTCTGAAATACTAACAGGCTTCACATTATGATCTCACTTTTCTCTCGTCTATGAGTTAAAAATCACTTTTCATTCAAAGTTATACCCTCATTTGTAATGTGTAAAATCGTCCAATTTCGAATAAAAACATGAGCTAAACTTATTGTTATTCACATTGATTATATTCAGCTATTGAAAAATTACCTTTTTTCCCGATTATATATTTTTTCTTGTTATTTTATTAATCACTTCTTGTTTTAGTCTGTTTCGGATTATGTTATTTTTAAAATAAGCCGTCGAAATCGATCTGATACACCGGATATTTTAAGAACTACAACAGATTCAGAAGAGAAATCAGAGAATAGTTTATTAGCTTTGGAGCCATTGCAGCTCAATTCGAATAATCAACTTCAAAATAATAATAATAATAATAATAATAATAATAATAATAATAATAATAATAATCGTGAATCATCAAAACCAGTTCAAAATTTTGCATGGCCAAGCTTGGAAGACCGAGACATAAATCTATCTGACACTACTTCTTATTCAACTACAGAATTAATTCATTCTTCAAATGAACAGAAATTAGCCTGCTTCAATCTGTCATCATCAACGACAACTGACGAGAATCATCGACCGGAAAGAGTGAATCAGACTTGTAACGAGTTGACAAATCGTTCTAATCCTGTAGATTCAGCTACTTCAAATAGTCCGCATAGTCGAAACAGTGATAAGCAATTTACTGTAAGTTTTACTGTGTTTTCTTCCTTCCAATCTTATATTTGTCTATTTCGTATGTGTTCCTTTCATTTTTCTTATGATTTCTACATGTTTCTTTCTGCTGTACCACTCAGTCACTAATCCATACTCATACTCTTAGGTAACCAAATGCTCAGGGAAATACGACTAAAACCGCATGGAAATCTCCATAGTTGAGAGCTGAATAACTATGCTTGCAACGTTTGGGTACATATATTTGTCCAAAATTATGTAGACGGATTTGTGTGTAATAAACCCGACTAAATGAATAATGCAGTTATTCAAAGTAGATCCCTTACACTTGTTTCTCAATTACTATATAGGTTTTAAACAGGATGCTGTCTATACAACTTCGTCCAGAATATCTGTTCACACTCGGTATGAAAAGAAGTCTCTATTAAGAAGTTGAAATGTAAGACACAACTATGGCTGAGTAATGTCGAGATAGTTTCCATGGCATTTTGTAGTCATAGCTTCTCTCTGTGGATGATCGAAACGGTGGTAACGAGGAACTTCTCCTTTTCGGAATAGGGTTAGCTAGCACTCTTTAGTTCTCACCTATTTTCGAAATGTTTCCAGGAAATTCAGGCTAATCGGGTCCACTCAGTTACTTTTTTTGCGACTAGAAGAATTCTAAAGCTTTCTCTGTGTGCTTTGATTTGTTTTGATTTGGTGATATATATATATTAATGTGAGATTTCAAAACTTTATTTTGCAAAATTTAAGGTCTATCGATCTTACCACCTTTCTAGTACTCCTCATTTGTCTAACTTCCACCTCTGTTTAAAAACAATTATTAAACTTAGTTACCCATCAATCATCAGTTTAAATCGTAATTTTACTTAAACTTAGGGTCATTAGATGTAGATTGGTAGTATTGGAACGTCATAACATTTACTACGTTAGTGTTAACCGCATATTATAAATTTTATTAAGTAATCCAATGATTGCACAATAATCCATTTTATTTATTTATTTTTCTCTAAAGATGTGACTGCAAAAGTTGAATAATGTAGTCAATCACTAATTAATTCTAAGTATCTCTCACTTATAGGAATACTGTTTAGGCAGTGATCGGCGTCAGCCTCTCATAAATATTTTATGATGACATGGAAACAAACGGAACTTGCATTGATTTCAATTACTGAGATTTATAATTCAAATGTTTAACTACTCCTATTAGTGATTTCGTTAGGTAAGTAGGAAAGAAAAGCAACAAATGACCTGGTGAAATGATTTATCATCATAAATATTACAAAGCTGGTGAAGTTAAACAATGAGCAATAAAAAGGCTGTGTCACATACGATAACTTCAGTTTAACTAATAGTTAGTCATATAATCGAAGGCTTTCGTACATTAATTCTAACTGTTACTTGACCCCGATTGAAGCAGAGCTTATTACGTCTATCATTACAATCCACTCCTTACGACTTGTTATACTTTAGGTAACCATTTCATTTAAATCCACTCATGCTTCTAGTCCAAAACACATATTTTACTTACTTCTTGTACGCTAAGTCCTTTAAATGGTTTACGTCCCTATTTTATTATGTCTAACTTCAACATTTTACAACAGATAATTCCTCTGAATATAGCAAATATGTCGATATTCATAAATCAAGTGACCTATCTTCAAAGCTGTAAAGTTTCCTTAAGTTATTGTAAGGTTAAAATAAAAAGCCGATAAAAACCGTTGTTCAATAGAATCTCTCATCCGTAGTGTAAAAGCTGTAAGGTTTCTTACTCTTGTTTGTAAGACACTTGTTATTTATCATTTGAGATCTTCGTTGTCAATGCTTAGTGATAAAAGTTCATCTATTATATATATATATATATATATATATATATATATATATAGAGAGAGAGAG